ACTCGGAGCAGACGAGAGGCGCTGGGTAGAGCGTCCCACTTCCGGGGTTGGGCTACGGACGCGGGCCATGACGTCACAGCGTCGCCTGAGCCTGGGGCTGTTCCCGATGACGTCACGCCGGGGAGCTGTGTGTCGAGGCGTGGCCCCTGAGTTTTGCTGTGAAGTCCCGTGCACACGCGTGTCACGCCCTGTGGGGGCCCGTGCACACACGTATGTCAGCGCGTGTCCTGTACACGCGTATCACACCCTGTGGGGGGCCCGTGCACACACGTGTGTCAGCGCGTGTCCCGTACACGCGTGTCACGCCCTGTGGGGGCCCGTGCACACACGTATGTCAGCGCGTGTCCTGTACACGCGTATCACACCCTGTGGGGGGCCCGTGCACACACGTGTGTCAGCGCGTGTCCCGTACACGCGTGTCACGCCCTGTGGGGGCCCGTGCACACACGTATGTCAGCGCGTGTCCTGTACACGCGTATCACACCCTGTGGGGGGCCCGTGCACACACGTGTGTCAGCGCGTGTCCCGTACACGTGTGTCACGCCCTGTGGGGCTCCGTGCACACAGGTGTCAGCGCGTGTCCCGTACACGTGTATCACACCCTGTGGGGCCCCGTGCACACGCGTCAGTGCGTGTCCCATACACGTGTGTCATGCCCTGTGGGGGCCCCGTGCACACGCGTGTCAGTGTGTATTACGTGTCAAGCTGTGTGGATGCCCAGTGCACACACGGTGCATGTCACACACATATGCATCATTTCACGGGTCCGGGGTCATGTATATGAGTGTTGGTTCCCTCTCCCCTGTGGGAACCAGTGGAATTCAGCAGGCCCTGGCAGGGGAAATGAAACCCAGGGGCGGGAGCTGGGGCCATGTGGGTGGAGCAACCAGCGGAACCCTGTGGGGGCCCGTGCACACACGTATGTCAGCGCGTGTCCTGTACACGCGTATCACACCCTGTGGGGGGCCCGTGCACACACGTGTGTCAGCGCGTGTCCCGTACACGCTGGCATGGGGGGGGGAGGGAGGGGCTCACAGGCCACCCTCACCTGCCCTCCCCCTGCTTTCTGGCCTGCCCTGGATCCATCCCTGCTTCCCAACTCCTTCTTTCACTTCCTGTCCCCTCCCCCATTTCCCATCCCTGCCCAGGCCCACTGAGCAGACCCAAGGCCCAGTGGGGAGGGGGGGCACTGCACAGGGTGGGCAGCAGCTGAACTGACCAGGTGGGGGGGCTGAGCTGTGGAGCAGGGGAAGGTAAAAGGGGAGCCTCTGGGGGTTGGAGGACAAGAGGGGAGGTGGGGGGGCTCTGGACAGGGTTGTGGCGCACGGGGCGGGGCAGTGACCGAGGGAGCCAGCTGCAGCCCTGTGTCCTGTGGGCAGGGCAGTGCTGAGTGACTGCCTGCTTGTGCTCTCTCAAGGCCTGGTCTGAGAGACCATGGGGCGGCCCCCCCGCCACTACCATATTTGTTGTACTTAAAGTCCTGGGCGTCATTGCTAATACATATAGCAATCAGCACGTATCACATGCACACGATAGATGACACGCACAAGCACACGCCTACTTGGAAGTAGGAATAAGAGCCTCCGGAAAAGGGCTTTTTTCCGGAGGATCGGGGCCAGTGTAGACGCTCTTTTCCGGCTTTTCTAAAAGCGGCGGACATTTTTATTTAAATCCCCCGCGGATTTCCCTATTGCGATCGCTGAAATTAACATGCCCCTTCCGGAAAAGGGGCCAGTGTAGATGTAGCCCGTGACTGATGATTAATACAGAGATGTATCTCCCTATCCCCCTGCTCCTCCTGCTGCTGTGCCCAGGGGGGACCCCCTTCCGGATCTGCACCTTCCACCTGCAACGCTTTGCAGGCCCCAAAGCCGCTAAGCCCCCCATCATGGCCACGCTGGTCAAGGTGAGCCCAGGGCGGGGCGAGCAAGGGGGAGGGGCACCGGGAGACAGGGAAGTGTCTGGGGCAGAGATGGGGGCAGCTATTTGCATATGCACATGTATGCTAATGAGCTGTGCCCACACAGATCATCTCACGCTGCGATATTGCTGTCCTGCAGGAGGTGATGCCAAGGGCCAGGCTGTGCCTGCCCTCCTCCATGCCCTAAACGGGTGGGCGAGTGGGTGCAGAGCAGGAGGGAGGCTCGCAGATGGGACCTCCCCTCACCCTATCCTCTCTTGCCCCCCAGGACTGTGAGCCCTGAGTCCTATTCAGCTCTGAGCAGCCCACCACTGGACATTGGGCGCTATCGGGAGCACTACGTCTTTGTGTACCAGTGAGAGCCACACGGTTATTGGTACGCATGTTTGTCATTCGTACAAGGGGGCAGAGCAGGAGGGAGGCTCGCAGATGGGACCTCCCCTCACCCTATCCTCTCTTGCCCCCCAGGACTGTGAGCCCTGAGTCCTATTCAGCTCTGAGCAGCCCACCACTGGACATTGGGCGCTATCGGGAGCACTACGTCTTTGTGTACCAGTGAGAGCCACACGGTTATTGGTACGCATGTTTGTCATTCGTACAAGGGGCACCCGCCGCCCTCCTGCCCAGGCTCCGGCATCCCCCTTCCTGAAGGCA